TTTATATAATAATTATATTATTAATATTAATATTTTATTTTTTATTAAAAAATTAATACTTTTTTTTTATGTTCGCAAGCAAATTTACCTGCTCTACAGTTTAAGGGATAATATAACTGCAAAATAAAAATAGTATTAATTTTAAGGCTTAAATTTATTATTTAAAAAATAAAATTCTTTAGTTAATTTGATAAAATTTTGATTTTATTTGTCAATGATAACAAAAAAAGTTATTATCGTAGCACCAATTCTTACTTATGTTTCACGAGCAATTTTCATCCAATAAATCTGGGTGAACCCAAAATAATGGTTTGCAACACAAAAAACACTTTATTCTTCTATAATCAAAGAATTTCAACTAATTGCCTAATTGTCTTTGATCTACAAAATGAATTCAGTTCAAACTCTCTTTTTTGGTATTCGTGAGTACCTTAGTCCTGTACTCAAGAACTCAAAATTCAAAGAAACTGGTTGCATTACTCCAGAGGAGGTTAGATATTATTCTTAATTTTGCGAATGTCTGAAACATTCGGTAGTTTCTTGATACTGTTTTTTTTTTTTATGTATAAACAACTTAATGTTCCAATATTTTTGTTTTTAATAGTTTGTGGCTGCCGGTGACTTTTTGGTATATAAGTGTCCAACGTGGAAATGGTTATTATTTTTTTTATTTTTGGATACTCTTGGATAAATATATGTAAAAAATTATTTAATCACAAATCAATCAATTCCTTTTTTCATAAAGGGAAAGTGGCGAAGTAAGTAAAAGAAGAGATTATTTACCCGCTGAAAAACAATTCCTTATCACAAGAAATGGTATGACATTTAAGATTAATCTACTTAATTATAATTTTATATTTTAATTATATAATTTTTGATATTGTTTTAAATTTAATTTATTATTAAATAGTACCATGTTTTAGACGCGTCAAACAAATGGAATATACTGAAGAAGATTCAGAGACTCAAATTGAGACTGAAAATGGCGAAGAAGCATGGGTTGCAACTCATAGTGGTCGTGGTAAGTTAGGAATACCTGTTTGATCATTTGCTTAGGATAATTGTTAATTAAATTGGAAATATAATTATAAGTCGTCGCAAATATTGAGGAAATTGTTCAGCAAATTGAAGGAGAGGATGAAGAAATTATCAAGAGGAATAGCATTGTATTAGAGCCCGAGAATGATAAAGAAGAAGTTGATATCCCTAATATTGAAGATATTCCGGATATTGAAGATGTTGAAGATGGTTTAGTTGAAGAAGAAGATCCTGTAATTTATCAATTAGTTTTTAAAAAGAAAAAAAAAAAGTTTTTACTTTCTTTTTAGTTAAGAGATTAACAATCTCTGTTTTATGATATGTTTAGGCGACATTAGCTACAACGAGTAATGTCGTAGTTTCTTCACACGATGACGGGCCCAGGTATGCCGTATAAATTGCTTGGTTATTTTTAAATTAAGTTTTGTTTCGTTATTAATAGCTGACTTATGATCAATTTATTTCGTAGTGACAAAATCCTTCAAGTACGAACATACGATGTATTTATTACCTATGATAAATATTATCAAACACCACGTATGTGGCTATATGGTTATGATGAGGTAAATAGGAAAAAAAAAAATATTTTCCTATTTTCTTTTAGAATAAATAATATATAATATATTTTTTTATTTATATTATGTTCTAATTCCTTTTCTATTAAAAAGCACCGAAGGCCATTGACATCAGTTCAAATATTTGAGGATATTTCTCAAGATTATGCTAAAAAAACCGTTACAATTGAGACACATCCACACTTGAACATGTCATTGGCTAGTATTCATCCTTGTCGTCATGCTCAAGTTATGAAAAAGATTATTGAAAAAATGAACGAAGAAGCTCTTAAAAAATTTGAATTGTTACAACAACAATATGGAAATTCTCCAAATGCTCCACAAGCAGAACAAGCACAAGTTAGAGTAGATCAGTAAGTACTTAAAGTTCTCTTCCCCCCATTTAATATAAATTAATATTTATTTTTTATTTAATTGCATTTATAGATATCTTATTATTTTCTTGAAGTTTATGTCTTCTGTCGTCCCGACAATTGATTATGATCACACAATTAGCGCATAGATATATATTTTACTTTTATTTATTTAATAATAACTAAATTTGATTGTACGTTAAATATTTTATATAATCAGCATTATTGGTTTTTTTTTTTTATTTTAACAAAAAAAACTTTAATAAATGAAATGTAAAAAAAAAAAAAAAAAAATTGATTTATTAAAATGAAGATTATTAGACGTATTATATAATACATGGTCAAACTATATTATTGAAGGTCAACCCTTCATTGCTGATTAGCTAAATATAATATTAATAAAATATTTCAAATATTTCATCAAATATAAATATGTATATTTTTAGCTTTCAATAAATTATTAATAATGTATATAAACTACTTTATAAGAAATACAAAAATCTACAAATGAAATTTTTTTTTTTTTCGTTTTTGAAAAATTACCACCCTACCAAAAAATAAATAATGAATGAAAAAAAAAAAAAAAAGAAATTATGAGAAAAGAATAACAAAAAAAAAAAGGGCTAACAAATTCTAATAAATAATAATGAAGAATATTCCAATTCATTCATTACTAAAATAAGTTAATCTTTTTTCTTACTAACACTTTTTATAACGTATTAGATGCAACTTGTATTTATTAATTTTAGATTAAATTCAAGTTCGTTGTACTCGTTTTAGCCAGTTCAATTTTCCTACAATTTCACCTTTCATCTTTGCAACTTGTTCACTATGTTCACTTGTCTTCTGACTTGAATGTTCTACGTCTTTTTTCATAGCTTCAATTTCTTTCAATAATTTTTGAGCATGTTTTTCTTGATTTTCTTTCAATTTATCAGCAATAGATTCTAAATTTCCTATTTCTTCTGTACGCTCCGAGGTTATTTCTTCAACCTTAACACTAGTCATTAAAACAACATCTTCTAATGATCTTGAAGTTGAACTCATCTCTTTTCGAAGAATTTTAAATTCTTTTTTAACGATTTCAACATCATTAGCATATCTAGTTTTAAAGGATTGCATTTCTTTAGATAAGAGTGAATATTCAATTTCAGATTTTTCTTTTAAAGCTAGAGCTTCTTGTAATTTTCTTTCCAAATCTGATACTTTTAATTCGGATTGACGAAGTCTTGTATAAGCGTTATCTCGTTCAAACTTCATATCTGAATTTCTTTTCTCAATATCTTTTGTTGATTCCTCTAATTCCTTGGATTGTCTTTCTTTACGTTCAAACATTCTTTTCAAAGAATCAATTTCAAGACGTAAAGTTTGATGTGAAGCTAAATGTTCCGAAACTTGTCTTTCAGCCCTTTCACGAGCAACTTTGGCCACATGAATTAAAGTTTTTGATTCAGCAAGTTCCTTTTTTAAACTATCGATTTCGGCCTGTAAATGTTCGATAACCCTTCCTGTAGTAGACTCGTTCGTCATATTTCCGGTTGTACCGTTTGGTTGATGTTTGCTAAGTTGTTTTTGTACTGTTGAAAGTAATGCGTTTTTTTCTTCAAGGTCGTGTCGAAGACTGTGAACCTGTTGTTTCAGGGCGTCAATATTGCCCGATCCTTTAAATATATATATATATATATATAAGTAAGAAAATGGTGTTTCAGAATTTGTTTCGGGTTGCAGAAAAATTTAATTAATGATACATGAATTTAATTTATAATTTTATGCAATGATGGGCAACCGGTCCCGCATAAAATTATTTACAAAATAAATAATAATAAAAAAAAGGATAAAAGATAAAATGTTTTATTAAATGTAATATATAAGGAAGGTAAGGTGTTTTAAGTTGAATCTTCTATTTTTTTATATTTAAAAAAAAAAAATAAATAAATAAATAAATAAATAGATAAATTGTACACCCTACTTTCTATTCACCAAACGCTTAGTTCTCATAACGTTTTTCTATTCACAGAGAATAATAATATTTCTGTGAAAAAAAAAAACTCCAAAAACTTTTTAAGAAATCTTACCGAGTTCACCGTTATTCATGCGCGCAAAATTTTTGTCAAACTTATCAGAGATGGAAGTAATGAATTTTTTTTTTTTAAAAAAAAAAAAAATTAAACTTTTCGAGATTTGAGGAAATTTTTTTTTTGAAAAAGAACTTAAAGGCTACGTTTACTTTAAGGTACTCTTTTTTTTTAAAAAAAAAAAAATGAAATGAAATGAAAGGTGGGTGTAAAATCAAAAGAATGTGAAAAATTAAAAATCTATGATAGGAGTGAATTGATAAAAATAAGTATATTAAATATATATCAGATAACCAAAAGAAACTCGAGACTTAACTGGGTAAATCTTTGGTAACACGTTTTTAATATTGCATGAGCCTGCTTTGTTACACACCAAACCTTTTCATTAAAAAATTTAAATGAATTGAATTTAACAAAGTTTAACATTTCTAGTCAGATATACCTATATGACAAATGATTGAAGATTAAGAGCATAATATATTTGAAATTACCACAAAATGCGGCATTCAAAAAAAAATTTTTTTTTTAAAACAATAAGTCCCTAAATTACCGACCCATTTTATAATGTTAACTCCGATCATCTCCATATTTAGTATCCCGTCGACATCTCACGCAAGGATATATTTCTGTGTAATCTTTCCTCGAGACAATTTTAGAATTTATTTTTTGAAACCAGTAAAACCGGTAGGTATCAGGTGCAAAATCAATTAATACATGGATTTTCAGTACGTCGCTATATATATATATTTCTAACATTTATCAAAGATATTGGCTGTAAGTAGTACATTCATTAAGACGCTGAAATAAGTTTTAAGGGCATGAACAAGTTCTGTCAATGAAAAAAACAACGAAGTAACAAATGTTCAAGCCTTCAAAAGGAAATACCCAACTCAAAAGATTATGACAATCTTACACGATCTAGGAAAATGACTATATGGGATCTTTGCAAAAGAAAAGGGGAAAACAACCGGAAAAAATAAAAAATGATATTTTGACCTAAAATCATATTTGGCATATAAATGTAAAATTGCAAAAGGGTCCCATATAACATATGATCAGCATGTGATTTTCCTAGCTTACGACCGCAATACCTTGACCACGAAGCGATTTCTATCCTCTTGAATCAAAAGCAATTGGTTGTATAAGAAAAGAAAGTCGTTGCAATATAACTGCAAGTAGTTCTTTTTGTATCTGTGCTGGCAATACATTAATGTATCATAAATTATATTAAAATTTGATTTGATCATGTGAAAACAAAAGTACGTCGCGATTTTCAAAATGCATTTAACGCTTGATACTTGCTTCATCGAGACGTTGGAATTAATTATGCTTAAAACACTGGTTGCCAAAATACTATCCTGTAATGTTACATGACATCTAATGTCCTCGGATAAAAACCAGGTGGCCGGAAATCCTTTAGCTAAAAGCAATCGGTGAAGAGAAGGATACTTGTGAGAATCAAACAAATAGTGGCATGGTTAAAACTGATTCGGATAAGTATCATTAAGTTACCATATGATCGTTATTGGTTTTCCCAACTTTCATAGGCCCTGTTTTCTGTGATCTTGCTCATAAAAATTAGTTAAAAATGTTTACTATCACAGTCAATTCCGAGTTAAAGAGCCAAACCTTACTTTTGGTTCAATTAATAAATAATGATAAGTAAACGGAAATTATCAACATGTAGAATATTTCTACTAGGCTAGTAAATACTTATCAAATATTTTCTCTTATACCTTCAAATGATATAGCACTTCTTAGATAACAATTTGAAATTTATAAAATCACTTACAACTCCTATAACCGATAAACAAAAGAAAAAGTTAAGGATTGGAAAATGTAAAATTATATAATATATAACAAATTATTCTTTAGATTATCAATAAACTTTTTTATAAAAGATATTATCTAAATACGTTAGGCAATATTTGGGTTTTTTCTGATTGATATAACTGTTTAATTTGATTCAATCAAAAATAAATTTAATATAACAATCACTTATATTATAACTTTTAACCTTTGTAAACTATTTTTTTACAAATTTTAGATATGATTATCTCTATTGCTTCTATAATTTTCTATGTAGCCTTCATTTAATTCATTTCTTTTGTCTTTACCATCTTTATCATTTAACATAATACAATTAATGTAACTTCTAATCACGTGTATCATATTATATCAGCTGATCTTTTAAATTAATATTTTCCTATTACATTATAATTTTTTAAAAAAATTATAAAGTAAACTGATTAGATTTAAAATTAAGTCAGAATTAGAATTATAATTAAAGTTGATTTAATTATTTTTTTATTATGTTAAAATAGGATTAGAATAAGTTAGAATTAGAAAAAAAATTTAATAAATTTTAATAAACTTATATATGGACTCTTTACAATAGAAAGGAAGGAAACTACCAAAAAAAATTATTTTGAATTAATATTAAATCTTGACTTATTTTATTAAAAAAATAATATTTAGCTTATAAAATAAAAAAAATTTTTTTTTGATAGTTTTCTCCTTTTCTATTGTAAAGAGCCTATATATATTATTATAATACTAAAAGTATTATTTTAAAATTATATTTTATATGATATATATTTTTAAAATGATATTTATAAAAATTGTATAGTGCAAAAATTAAATTTTTTATTATTATTTTATTATTTTTTTTAGCAATATTAATTTTTATAAATTAATTTAATTAATTATATTATTATAAAGAAAAATTATATATTATTTTATATAAAAAGACTATAATTAAAGATTTCTGAATTATTAAGAATTATTATTATTCTTTTTTTTTCTATTAATTAAATACCTTTTTGCTTTGATTATTATTTATCACAAAAATATGTTTAATTTAAATATCAATTTACTGCTTTTTTTTGTAATTCTTTATTAATTATATAAATATCTATATGTAATTCTC